CAACAGGGTCTTCCGCAGTTGAGATATTGGTGTCTTCTTTATTTAGAATATTCAAACCTGTATACAGCGATACCGTTTTACCTGAACCTGTCGGGCCAGTAATTAACAACATGCCTTGCGGTTTGTCTAAAGCCTGCATAAATAGGTCTTTTTGATCTGGTTCATAACCTAAAGCATCAATCCCCAGCATAGCACTGGATGGATCGAGAATACGTAGAACCAGTTTTTCGCCAAACAAGGTTGGAAGTGAGTTGACACGGAAGTCGATGGCTTTGCTTTTCGACAGCTTTAATTTAATCCGGCCATCTTGCGGGACGCGCTTTTCAGAGATGTCCATTTGTGACATAACTTTTAAACGTGAGGCAAGACGAGTCGCCAGTTGTAGTGGTGGACTGGCAATATGACGCAGAACCCCATCTACACGATAACGGACACGGTAAGATTTTTCATAAGGTTCAAAGTGTAAATCTGATGCGCCCATACGAATCGCATCGATCAGTAATTTATTGATGTATTTGACGATCGGAGCTTCATCCCCTTGAGGTGAGTCATCTTCTTCGTCATTTGAGTCTTGATGTCCTTGTTCTAGGTCTAAATCAATATCTTCATCAGAAAATTCAAAGCTATCGGCTTGCGCGAAATTTTGTTCGATTAGTTTTTCAAGCTGAGGATGTTCAACAATAATCGCTTCAATATTCATTTTAGAATTGAAACGAATCGCGTCCATCGCATCCATGTTGGTTGGATTGCTGGTGGCGATATAGAGGATATTGCCACGACGGTAAATCGGCAACACACGATGCTTGGTGATAAGTTTGTCTTCGACCAGATCCCGTAGAATTTGTACCGAATCATAGACACTTAAGTCAAAAACAGGCTCGCCAAACTCTAAAGAAATCGTTTCAGCGATCATTTGTGGGGAGAGTTTATGATTTTCAATCAGATAAGGAACGATGTCTTGCTGAGCCTTTTTTGCAGAGAGCATTGCCTGCTGCATATTTTCAGCAGTCATGCGTCCGTCTTCGACTAAGCGTCGAATGAAGCCTGTGAACTTAGGCAAACCATTTGATACTGACATTCCCCAGATCCTTAACTTCTCAATTGTTTATAATTGGTATCGTAAAATTATACTTTTGTTGCACAAAAATACCATATCTGAAAGTGTTGTCACCACCTTAATATCGATTAAAAGCATGAACTGGTCGTGATAGCAGGCGATTTTTTTACAAAAAGATGTCTTTATTTTCATTCGTATTATTTTGATTGCCGAAGAAATTCTAGAAGAAAACTATCTTTGAAAAATAAATACCGTGTAGAATGAGGCCGTTTTAATGAACTGTTTTGAATAGGGTGCTGTATGTCGGGTTCGACGATTAAGCCATGGGTTGTCGGCAATTGGAAGATGAACCCAATGCAGGCAGATGCCAAGCAATTGCTTCAAGAATTTAAACAGCTCTTGCAAGAGAATGAAATAGCAGAAGAAAAATGTAATATTGGGCTGGCGCCTGTGACGCTTGCTTTGACTTCAACGCAGGCTGAATTGGCGAATGCTGCACGTTCAGTTTTTCCTGTACCAATGGCCCAAATTGGCTCATAGGCAA